GGTGAGATGGTATCTCATTGTGGTTTTAATTTGCATTTCTCTAATGGCTAGTGATGAGAGCATTTCCTCATGTGTCTGTTGACTGCTTGAATGTTGTAGAAAATATATTATTAAAAGTAATTTTGACTGTTTGTCTTTACCTTTTTTAATGTGGTTACTAGAAAATTTAAAATTACATATGTACCTCGGATTTTATTTCTGTTGGACAGCACTAGTGTTTGGATCATTAGAATAGAAGGAGCCTGCTCATTGTTAGACTGGAGAAGTTGTTCTCAACGGAGAGTGGGGTGGGAGGAGGAAGGAGGAAATTTTGCCCTTCAGGGGACATAATATCTGGATGTATTCCTGGTTGTCTCAACTTTGGGGGGAATGTGCTAATGGTATCTAGTGGGTAGAGGCCAGGGATGCTGCCAAATATCCTACAATGTACAGGATAGCCTCTCACAACACAGAATTATATGATCCAAATGCCAACAGTGCTAAGGTGGACAAACCCTGGACTAGAGGAAGAATAGGATAGTTCTAACCCCCATAAATAAGTATTTCCAGGATTAAAGAGTACACCAGGTTAGAGTTTTAGTCTTATCAAGGTGACGGAGTGTCTTGCTTTATGATAATTGAGGGCTGATGAGCTGTTTTTCTATACTGCTAGTGAACTGGTAAACAGAATGAGGAACCCAGGAAGATTCCGTAACCCCAAAAGGGATGCCAACCTTTCTGACGCCAAAGCAATATAGTAACAAAAGCTTTTTGTTCCTCGAAAGTGGTAGGGATAAACCAAGGATAACTAAGAGAAGTAGCTTCCTTTGAAAGATAGCCTTTCTTTAGAAGGTGTTAGAAAATAAAGGTATTAATGTCTGCTATGGATTGAATTGTGTCCCCCAAAAATGTGTGTCAACTTGGCTAGGCCATGATTCCCAGTATTTTGTGATTATCCACCATTTTGTCATCTGATATGATTTTCCTATCTGTTGTAAATCCTACCTCTATGATGTTAATGAGGCAGGATTAGGGGCAGTTATGTTAGTGAGGCAGGACTCAATTTACAAGATTAGGTTGTATCTTGAGTCAATTTCTTTTGAGATAGAAAAGAATTGAGCAGAGAGACAGGGGGTCCTCATACCACCAAGAATGAAGAACCAGGAGGGAAGTGTCCTTTGGACCTGGGATCCCTGCACTGAGAAGCTCCTAGACAGGGGAAGATTGGTGACAAGGACCAATCTGACAGAGTGAGAAAGCCTTTCCCTGGAGCTGGCACCCTGAATTCAGAGTTTTAGCCTCCTAGACTGTGAGAGGATAAATTTCTGTTTGTTAAAGCCATTCACTTGTGGTATTTCTGTTATAGCAGCACTAGATAACTAAGACAATGTCTTTTAAATTCTATGATACTATATTTGTCAGTGTCAACATACTGGTAAGTGCTTATATGAATCTAATAGAGGAGTATCTAAGAGTCCCAGGAGAAAAATTAAGAAATTAAGCCAAAATCTTTAATCCTTTAAATATGTTAACCCTTTAAGAAACACTCTCCAGGCATGGAGAAAATGAGAATATAAGCTCAGTTGTCACCACATAGACATGACTCTCCGAAGCGTGCACAAATACATGAAGTGCATTAAAGAATTTAATCTTCAGAAGCCTGAATCGTAGAATGTTTTCTACTTGGAAAAATAAGATAAAATTGAAAAATAAAATCTCTAAGCATAAATACTACAAATAAGCATGAAAGGCAAAATAAAAATAAATAAGTAATAAAGCGTAAACAATATTCCATCCTTCTAATATAAGCCGTTTCTCTTTCTAAAAAGTTTTGAGGTGAGAAATAGAAAAATCTGACTTTGGAAGTACGGTCCCAGTGTCTGCTGATAAAAAAGCAAGATATTCAAATTTACTTACTTTAGGCCAGAAATTAGTAGTCATTAAAAAATTTAAGAATCCCATCTTTACTAAGACTTTTAATGAAGACAGAGGGTTCTAGTATTAGTTGGTAAAATAAAGACAAGAGAATTAAATTTAATGCTTCCAACTAAGGTATCCCTTTGTTAAAACTGTTTCATGAATTCGAAGTATACAAAATGCCTGTCTATCATCTCCCTGATTTTCCATGGTTTGAACTAAATATGCAAAAAAGACATTTTCAAGATTTTTGGATTGCTTTACCAGTATAAAAAACCAGTTGTCATTGAGTCGATTGGATTGCTTTGGAACTTCCAAAATAACCACACTTGGCTACTAGGTCAGATGAGTATATTACCTACACTAAGTATAACTGTATGTAAATATAAATGTGGCTTTAACTAAATTGAATTATAAAGGAAATGACTACTGTCTGTATACATTGGTTCTTATTAATCTCAGAAAACTTAGCAAATAACCTGGGTCTACAGTTATTGCCAAAAGTGAAAATGACTTGAAGCACTTACTGATAAAGATCAAAGACCACAGCCTTCAGTATGGATTATACCTCAACATAAAGAAAACAAAAATTCTCACAACTGGACCAATAAGCAACATCATGATAAATAGAGAAAAGATTAAAGTTGTCAAGAATTTCATTTTACTTGGATCCACAATCAACGCCCATGGAAGCAGCAGTGAAGAAGTCAAACGACGCATTGCATTAAAATCTTAAAAAGCAAAGATGTCACTTGGATAACTAAGGTGCGCCTGACCTGAACCATGGTATTTTCAATAGCCCTATGTGCATGTGAAAGCTGGATAATGAAAAAGGAAGACCAAAGAAGAATTGACACATTTGAATTATGGTGTTGGTGAAGAATATTGAATATACTATGGCTTGTCAGAAGAAGAATGCACAAATCTGTCTTGGAGGAAGTACAGCCAGAATTCTCCTTAGAAGTGAGGATGGAGAGACTTCTCTCAAGTACTTTGGACGTGTTATCAGGAGGGACCAATCCCTGGAGATGGACATCAAGCTTGGTAAAGTAGAGGGCCAGCACCTAACAACAACACAGTCATTCCACTTATACCATCAGGGTAAAGTTTTAAGCTGTCCTATTTCTTTGACAGAAAACATTATGAGCCTTCAGTGACTTTTTGCTGAGTGGGTAACTGCCTGCACACTGTTAGGCTTAATCAGTCTGGGGAATTGAAGGTCTGGGGAGGGTGTAGAGCGATAAGGCCTGAAGGCAGTCTTGCTTTCATGGGCCTGGAAAGGAAAAAATGTGCACTGAACTCTCACAGTCCTGACTATGACATGAAAACACCGTTACCCGCAGAGACAGAGATGCCTACAGGACAGTTTCTTCATTCCAGGGTAGGGCAGGACTGAGACTCCATCATCTGCCTTGCCCCTTCCAAGGAGAGTAAAAAGAATGGTGGGAGGGGCAAGGGGAAAAGGAAGGAAGAACAAAGGAAGATGGAAGGGGAGGGAAGGGAGAAAGGTAGGTTGGTTCAATTTATACACATAATTTTTCCTTACCTTGCGGCAGCTAGAGACTTGGAAAGCTGGGGGAGAGTGGAAGGAGCATCTGTTATGACCAATAACAAGCAATTCTGAGAGGGAGCCTGGAGGGAAACTAGGGCAAACCTCTCCAGGCATGGAGAAAATAAGAATGTAAACTCAGTGGTCACATAGACACGACTTTCTGGAACTTGTACAAATACATGAAATGCAGTAAAGAATTTAATCTTCAGAGGCCTGAATCTCATGGGATGGGAAGGGAAGTATCCGGAAGAGCCTGGCCCACACAGCAATGAAAACAAATGATATACCTGCATAAATGATAAAAAAGCACAATGATAAGGGAAAAAATCCCAAGTTCTGCAGAAGGATACAAACAGTATGATACCACTTACATGTTTAGAAAACGTGAATAATATCAGATTGTTTAGGGATGTACACAAAAATTTACAAGTACTATGAATAAATATGTAGGATAATAAACCCCAGACTCTGGACACTGGCTGCCACTGTGGGGAGGAGAAATGAGGGCAGAGGGAATACACAGGATGCTTGGATGGTAATACTGTAGTGCTAGTACTGTTGGAACGCAAATACCACAAGTAGGTGGTTTTAAAGAATAGAAATTTATTTTCTCACAGTTCAGGAGGCTGGAAGTCGGAATTCAGGGCACTAGCCTAGGGGAAGTTTCTCTCCCTGTTGGAAGATACTTGTCTCTGCTTCTGTACCCCTGGCATTCCTTCGCTTCTTGGTGATTGATCTCTGGCTGGCATCTGTCTTTCCCCATTTGTGCTTGCTTCTCTGTGCCTAATCTGCTCTTTCACGTCTCAAAAGTTGTTAGGTTGGAGACATCCCCTACACCGTGATATGGCCTCATTAACATAACAAAGAACACCCTATTTCCAAATGGGATTACATCCACAGGTATAGAGGTTAGGATTCCAACATATATTTTGGGGGGACACAATTCAATCCACAACACGTAGGTACTGGCTACAAGGCTAGTTGTTATATTATGCTTTTATTCCTTTTTGTATGTCTAAAATATTTCATAAAAGAATTTAAAGTATCATCCTTAAGGAGCCCTAGCGATGCAAAGGTTAAGCACTGGGCTGCAAACCGAAAGACTGGCAGTTGGAACCCACTCTGGTGATCTGTTTACATAAAGATTGTTGTTGTTGGGTGCCGTGGAGTTGATCCTGACTCACAGTGACCCTATAGGACAGAGTAGAACTGCCCCACAAGGTTTCCAAGGCAGTAATCTTTAGGGAAGCACATTGCCACATCTTTCTCCCACAGAGCAGCTTGTGGGTTCAAACCACTGACCTTTGAGGTAGCAGCCAAGCACTTTAATCCCTGCGCCACCAGCCTAGAAAACTCTACTGTATCACATGGAGTCACCATGAGTCGAAAATCGACTGGACGTCACCCAACAACAAACAACAATTATCCTTAACATAGTCTCCCCCAGGGATGACCACAAGTGGTGTTCCCAGACATTTGCCTGTACATCAGTTTCCTGGTAACTGAGTGAGTCCTTAATCCTTAGTTTTGTTATTTTTTAAAATTATTTGTTTTGTCTTAAAATCGGTTTTGCAATACGTTTATTTGAAGGTATTGTCAAAATACACTGTCTTTCATGAAGTATTTTGAGAAGGAGGAGGTGGAAAGGCGAAGGGGCATGGAGAAAATCTTACTTGTTTGCTGCATTAGCACAACTTCAGCAGGTTCGTTTTATGTTCGTTTAAACGATATATTTGAGGCTGAAAGTGCTGTCGCAGGAGAAAGGTTTGCCTTTGCATCTCCCACACGATCTTGACGATGAGGCCTTTCGGAGTCCACGTGAAGTTTTACTGGGCAGGAGCATTTAGTCTGTTTACAATTTTGACAAGTATATCCTCCACTCGGTAAGGGTTATAATACTTCTGACAACTTAGGCAAAACTGCTTGAAGTAAACGTGGTTAGCGCCCTGTACACACACACACACACACACACACACACACACACACACACACACACACACACACACACACACACCACACACGCGCGCGCGCAAGCACTTTCCCGTCGGATGTTGCGGTCCTTGCAGTGATAATAGCTACATTTCTGCTCTAAGGCCTGGCAGTGCAGGCTCTCTTTGCTCAGGGCTCCGCAGTGACCACCTCCCTCCGCGCTGGCCGCCTCCTCGTCGTCCTCGGCCCTTCCCGCCCGCGGTGGCTGCTCGGGACTCCTCGGCTCGGGCCGGTGGCCGCTTCGCCTTCCCGGGCCTTCGGCAGCGGCAGCCCGGACCCACTGGCCGCTTCGCCTCCGGGCCTCCTGGGACTCCGGAAACAGGGCGCCGACCTCGCCCATATCCCTCTGTGCTCCGGGCCTTCGGGCCTCTGGGGCGGCCCCCGCTCTCCCGCCGGCGCCTCTGGGCCTCGGCCGCCTCAGGAAGGTGGGGAGGCGGCGGGAGAGCGCCGGGGACACCGATCGGCCGGCTGCTCGGCTCCGGGCAGGGGAGGCCGAGGCGCTGCCGCGCGCCCCTAGCGTCGGGGCGGCCGTGGGCCCTGCAGCAGCCTGCGCGGCCCAGCGAGCACTGCCCGAGGCGCAGCCGCGCGGGCTCACCAGCACGCTCCTGTCGCGGCTGCTGGCCCTGCGGGGCCGCAGAGCGAGGCCGGGCTCATCTGCGACAGGACGGCCACGAGCTGCGCCCGCCCGGTCGCTGTCGAAGTCTTCGGCGGCGGCCAGCGACCCATAGCGGGGAGAAGACGAAGAGGCCGCCCGGCCGAGGAGGAGGAGGAAGCGGGAAGGAGGCCCCCACCGCGGTGCCGTTCCCGGTCCCCGGCCGCCGCGCCCTGTGACAGCCTCTCCTGGGGTGATCTCACTCCGCTTCCTGCACAGGCGCGCGGGGAATTTAAATGCGCTCCCGACTGTGCTGTACACGCTGCACGAGTTTTTTTTTTTTGCAAACGAGCTTTTCCCCGCCCCTTTCCCTAGCGCTCGGAGCTTCAGATTCTCCTCACCCGGGGCGGGTGCGGGGGAGCCTACCCCTGACCGGTTATAAGGGAGCGAAAGGCGAGCACCCCCTGGCGTCAGATTCCCGCCCAGTCCCCGCGCGCGCGGAAAATGGGCAAGTGGGCACCGACCTCCGCGTCCAGGCAAACGAGAGTGGAGCGCGGAGGGGTTGGGGGTCGAGATAGGCGCGGGCCGCCGCTCTTGAGACCCCGGGAGCCGGAACCAAAGAAGGCTCGGGGAAAGAGGTCGTGTGTTGCAAGAGTCTATGGATCCGTGACTATTCCGTGCCTTTCATTCGGGCCCCTTCCTGAATTGAAGGAGTTATTGAAATCAAACTATTACCATTCCATCATTGTATAGTGTGTATGTGGGAAGGGGTAGATAACTTGAATTGTTAGTTCATACATCTCGAGAAGAAGTCGCATTCCGACATGATATAAAACTACTACAAGATCCTGCACTTTGTCTCTGATGGAACATCCCATTGGAATGGGACTTCTGTTTCTCTCAGAGAGGGGTGAGTATATCATGAATATGAAAAGAAGAAAAGTGAATATTTCTGAGAAAATATTCAGGCAGATTATATTTTCTTCCAAAATATCTCCTGCCCTTTTCTGGGAAAAGATTACACTTCCCACCCATTGATAACATACTTGACCGTGTGAATTGTTTTCACCAATTAAATGTGAATAGAAGTGATGCGTGCTACTCGTAAGCAAAAGCTTTCAGAGTCATCACACAGTTTCCTCATGCTCTTGTTTTCTTCTGCCACAAGATTGGCAATGTCTCAGATAGGGGATATTCTGTCACCCTGGATTCCCAAGTGAAGATGAGGCGGAGCAGAGCCAAAGTAACCCCTTAACAGACATGTAGTATAAACAAGAAACAAAAACGTTTGTTGTGAATCACTGAGATTTGGGATGGTTTGTTACTGCAGCATAACCTAGTCTATACTGATGCACATGTGAAGCATATTAAGGCACTGAAGCTCTGTTTCTTTAGAGCTGGAGCAAGGATCCGATGAGATGATAGAAAGCACTGCTACCCAGTGTATGTTCATTCAATGTTAGTAAATACTCTTTCTTCATCCCTAGGGTAGAGGCACAATGAGAGTCTAGAGTGGACTTCCAAAATTAGGCAGTTTTTTGAGTTTGGAATGGGGTTCGTGGACTAGCGAGAGAGAGCAGTTTAGACTTGCAAACTCCCCAGTGAGTGGAAGTCATTTTGGCCTCTGTGCATCTGACAAACGTGTACCTTCTGGAGACATCTTAGATGTGATGAGCTGGAGAAACATGTATTTACCATAATTCCACGAGTGCCGAAAAAAGCAAAGTGGTAGGAGCTGTATCCCGCGAGAGGAGCTACTGGAGCCGGGTCTGGACTAATCGTCCCAGACGGCCCCAAGGTGCTCCTTAGACCACTAGAGTGTTTGAATATGTCCACCGCGGAGGATCCCTATTCTCGCCTCTTCCCCCCTTCCGCGCATCAGTAGCTCCTCTCGCCCTTCAGGTCCGGGTCCCCGGCGGCAACTGAGCTTTTAAGCAGGAACAGCAGTGCGGGTCTGGCAATGCAAGTAAAGCTGGAAGGGTGCGGCAGGGTTATCCCGCAAAACAGCCTGACACTTTTTAGGTTTCGGATCCGTCAAACGGATGCCAATTCCGCCAAAGACCGGGTTGCCTAACACGCCCACGCGAGTGACACTTCCTAGAGGGAAGGAATGGCCAGCTGATTGGCCAAAGAGAATACAGGTTCTAGAAACATCGGCCTCAGAGCCTCTCTGAGGCCCCTACATCCGCCCGCCTTCTTCCCGGGAAGGATCGGAGCTCCTGGACGCGGAGGGCAGGAACGTGGAGTAGGATCGCGTCCCCTTCCGGCGGTCAGTGCACAGACGGGCAGTAGCTCGGGTCTAACCAAGTTCATTCTTCGTTTTTTATTTTTAATTTTATTATTTTTGTTTTGCCACACAGGATTTAAAAAAATACAGATAAGCAAAAACGAAACGAGAAGTCTCTGGAGGTTACGCAGAGAGAGTCACGTGAAGTTTTACTTCCAGACGCATCGCGGACAAAGTTGCGGCAGCCAGGCGGCTGCTTGGCTTGGTGGGCCGTCGGTCAAGGGCGCGCTGAGCTCGCCGCACAAGGGCCGGTGATCAAATTTTGGGCTCGCTGGTACCTCCAAGGAATTATGCTGCCAGAGCGGAGCGCGGGAGGGTAAGTTCTTCCAACTCTGTTGTCTAAGTCCTGGAGCCTCAGCTTCTTATCCTCCGGGCGTCTAGTTTGTGCCTCCCTGACGAGGTGCGACACAACCAGCACAGCCACCACTGCTCCCGGGAAGACCCCAACTCGTTTCTCTTCCGCCCGGGCGTCTTGGCTCGTTTGCTCTTGTCTCAGTGGCAAGTTTCACCAAAATGGCGGGGTGTGGAGGACTTGATGGCCGGGGACTTGGCGTTCAAGGCTGGGCGTCCGCCCTCTGGATGGGTTGGAGAAGACCAGAGAAGGCCGGGAGTTCCGAGGAGGGGCTAGCGAGGCGGGGAGGGCAGGGCGCTGTATGGACAGGTGCGGGTCTCCGGAGCTCATCGGGGGTGCTCCAAGGCCCTGGGGTCCTGAACTTGAGGTGAATTGGGGAAGAGACCCTGTAGCTGAACATGTGACTGATCAGTCACTGAAGAACTGAGTTCTGGATCCTGAAGGAGAAAACAAGAATGGAATTGCACTGCCACAGTTCACAATCTAGAAGGAAGAGAGATGAGAATAATATCCTCCCCAACTGAAATGCAGAGTACCAAAGCTATAGTCATCAAGATAATGTGGTCTTAGCAGGGATCGAGGGGACAAACTAGAAAGCCCAGAAATGGACCCACAGTATGACAATTTGATTTATTTTGAAACTAGCATTGCATATCAGTGGGAACAGATTGATGTTTTAAATAAATGGGGCTTGGATGATTGGTTTTTCAAATAGGAAAGGAAAAAAACCCTATCTTCTATCTCACATCTCACAGAATGCACAAAACAATAATCCCAGGTGGATTAAGGATGTTAGAATTAAGATAGGTGAATATTAGTTTTGAGAAGGATTTGTTAAATCCACAAAACAAACACAAAGGTATAAAGAAAGGTTGATGTATTTCATCACATTGAAATTAAGAGCCATCATCAGAGACAGAGGTGGTATCCACAGCCTCCAGCTGAACCTCTGCAGGGGTATTCCAGGATACTGGTCTAGCAGTGGACAGGAATATTCTGGCCCCTTTGTAACCTTTCCTAGTGTAGCTACTGCTGCCTGTGATGGACCGACTGTACTCTCAACTGCCTCTGGACCAGCTGAGAAATCTTAAATCTTAGTTTTCCATCTATAGCAAAGCAATGATCCCAATAGACCTTTAAAGGGACAAGGCTTATAGAGTTGGGATGTGTACACTAAAGCAGAGCTTTTGTTTACAAGAATTCTCCCTCATGGAAAATACGTGGATATCTTATAAGAAAAGGTAACAGTGACTTGGCCCATCTTGCTTAAGATCAATGACCAACATTTGTGAGTCTAACCCATCTTTACAAGAAGGAGAAATTAATATGGCATAGCGCTGGGTGTCCTTAGATCCCAACTGAGCATTTCCCCCAAGTGATCCTCCATAAAAGGAGATAATTATGAAGGTGAAAGCTAAAATTATTAAAATAGAGATAAAGGTAGAAATAATAAATACAACCGAAATCTGGTTCACTGAGAAGACAAAATACATAGATAGACTCCCCTCATGGGCTTATTTAAGGAAAGGAGGGAGGGAAAAGAACAAGTTACACAACATTAGGGATTAGAAAGGAGATATCAAAACTCAGATAAAGATGAGATTAAAAGAATTAGAAGAGGATCACATAAAACTATGACAACGAATTTGGAAATTTAGTGGGAGTAGAAATTATTATAGTCCTACCTCAAAATCTGTCCAGAAAACTTGCTTCGCCTGTATCCTTACCAAGGCATCCAGCGGAATATATACAGCAAAGGATTTGGCTGGGATTGCTTCACTTTATAGAATCTGCTCGCTCCTCCTTGGGTCCTATTCTAATGGCTCTTTCTGTTTTACAGAGAAAGATTTCAGTTTGGAAATTGAATGGCTGCTGGGAAAATGAACATCGCTATTGATATGGAAGCAAACTGTGGTGATTTGGTTCTCAGTGTAGGAAGAATCACTTTAGGGGAGAAGAATAGAAAAAAGATGAAAAATTGTCAACTGAGAAGAGAGCAGAATAAAAAAGTCTTACATTGTATGAATGCTTTGCTGAATTTTGGAGGGGGAGTGATCAAAGCTGAAATTGAGAATGAAGACTATAGTTACCAAAAAGATGGACTAGGATTAGATTTGGAAACTTCTTTTAGGAATCTTCTGTCATCTTTTACTCGTAATTTCCTAGACTTCAGGCAACAAGGACGCTACTTTTTAATTTTTGTTAAGTCATGGAGCTCAGCAATCCCTGGTCTCTGGATTGCCAGCTTGTGCACCAATTTGTACTACAGAGACACAACATCTGTCCTTGTCATGAGTGCCAGTGATGCACTGAAGTTCCTCAAAGAAAGAAAAGAAAGTAGAGGGAAATGGAATTCAGAACCAAGATTCCCTCCAAAGAGGGCTAAAACTGATATACAAGAAGACGAAAACGTGGAAATCTTGGCTGCTGACTTTTTTAACAGGAAGCAGCTTACGTACAAAGAAGAAATCACCTTTACTGAATCCACACATGTTGAAATTAAAGACTTCTCAACAGGAAAGTTTGTGCAACGCACTAAAGAGATACTCCCTAAGAATGTTTCTGCATTTGCACACACTGAAGGGGGATATTTATTTATTGGTTTAAATGATGATAAACAAATAATTGGCTTTAAAGCAAAGAAGGATGATCTCATTAAGTTAGAAAAAGAAATAGAAAGTTCCATTAGGGAGTTGCCTGTCCATCACTTCTGTATGGAGAAGAGGAAGATAAATTACTTATGCAAATTCCTTGAAGTATATGATGATGGAGGTCTTTGTGGATATGTCTGTGCACTCAAAATAGAGCAATTCTGCTGTGTAGTATTTGCTAGGGAGCCCAGTTCCTGGCATGTGAAAGACAATTGTGTGAAGCAGATGACCGCGGAAGAATGGATCCAGCAGATGGTGGATGCTGACCCAAGTCAGTAAGGCGGTTAGTAATAAGTATACATGGTTGGTGAAGGTAGTAGGGAGGTTTTTCCTTTTCCTTTGGGATTTGGGGCAAAATAAATAATACTCAAATTTACTAATCTCTGGTGGATACAATCAGTAGTTCATTATCTTTTTTCCCCCCTTCTACTCACTTAAAAGGTAAACATTTCATACCAGCAAGTATGTTATCTTCTCAGCAATTCTACCTGGTGCAAAGATCCATACTCTCTTTCTTCCCTACCACCTCTTTACTTACTATGAAGGAAGTTCTGTTCAGCCCTTTTTCTTTTCCTTTGTGAGCTCAATTTCAGGAACTGACCATTTAGAGGAATCTCTTTCTCTCAGGAACACTTGCCTCTTTCACTTGCTCCTTCCTTCACCTTTCTTTACCCCTTCCCATTTCCCTTAAGAAAACCCCTTCCCTCACCCTCTCCTATCTCTTCCATTTGTAAGCCAAAACGTAATACTAAATTGGACGGATAAGGAACAAATAATGCTGATATTTTATCTAATTTTGGAAAAAGAAAGCCCCAATTGAAATTAGACCAGCACTAGCAACTTCTAAAATCTCTGAAAATGCAAGCTCCTTCCTCAGTCTGCACAAAACTGAGCTCTTCTTCACTAGCCATCACTTCATCTAACTTAATTGCTTTCAAAATGATTATATGGTAATGTGTTCAATTGCTATTAATACAATTTTACTGTTAATTTTCCTCCCAGGTGTATAGTGCTTCATCAGCATCAAGGGCTAAATGTATAATTTGTATCTGATCTAGGAAATGTAACCACAATATCTAACATATTTCTATTGGGAAAATGGGTTCTAAGTAGACTTTTGATATTCTACTCATCAGTTAGGTGAGGTCTCTCTAAGAAAGTGATTTTTGTTTTCCAAGTTTCTTCTAGGCATTGTGAAGAGGAGACCCTTCAAAGATGTATGTCATCACCCCTTCTCCATAGTTCACCTGTTTATAAACATGAGAATTGGGAATGTCACTTACAGAACTGTCACTTCTCAGGTACTTTAATTCAGGCTTCTTTGGACTTTGTGTGAGTATTTTTGTTCAAGCCTCTTTCTCTTCAAATCGTCTCTATGTTGAAATTTGTTATCAAAGCACGTTCTCTTGAGTTTCTGTAAATACTTTGGTGTTTTTAGTCATCGAATTTGTCAAATCATAATTCTTTAGATTTCTATAAGACTTTCCTTGGTGTAAAAAGAACTACAGGAATTCCTTTACATGAAGCAAGAGAAACCCAACTCAATTTAGTTTCAACAAAAAAGGTAGTGTCACTGGAAGATCTAGGTTGAGACCCAACTTTAGGCATGACTAGATTCAGTAACTGAAGAAAAGTCGTCAGTACTTGGTGTCTCTGATGTATCTCTCTGTTTCGTTGTTAGTTGATAGACAGTTGAATTATTTCCTGAATATTGTTGTTTAGTCTTCTGGTGCATATGTGTAAGAGTTTCTCTTGGGTAAACACCTAGGTGTAGAGTGGGTGGGTTAGGAGGTGAGTGAATATTCAGGTAATGAGATAATGCCAAATTGTTTTCCAAAGTCGGTGGGTCACTTTAGTCCCATCAACAGTGTATTAGAAATGCGACATCTTGTCCAGTGGTCAAACTTCTCTTCCTCCTCTTTGTCCTCCTCTTCCTCCTTCTTCCCAATCAAATGGATATAAAATGCTATCTCTTGTGGTATGTATTTTCCTGATTACTAATTTGGTTGAGTACCTCTTTATATACTTATTGACCGGATGTATTTTATCTTCTATGAAGTGCCTGTTCTACATTTTGCTCATTGTCTTTTTGTCCTTTTCTTATTGATTTGTAAGAGTAATTAACAGATTCTTGAATCAAATCGTCTTTTTGTGATAGGTGTTACAGACTGCGGATGTCTTCTCCAAGTTTGTGGCTTGTATTTCTCTTTTCTTTAGGCATATTTTAATAATCAGTAGTTTTAAATTTTAATATAGTCAAATTTACCATTTAAAATTTCAGGGTTAGTGCTCTTCCTGTCTTGTGTAAGAGACCCTTCTCTAGCCTGAGGTTAGAAAGATATTTCCCTGCATTTTCTACTAATGTTTTAAAGTTTTGCATGTGACATCCATCTCAAACAGACTGTTGTTGTAGGGGGACTATTCCATTGATTCCATGTGAATAACCACTTTTTCCAGCTCCAATCACTGACCACTTTTTAACCCACTGATATGCCATCTACCTCTGGCATATTGCTAAGTATATCTGTGTATTACTAAGTTTTATCTACATATGGCCTTATTTAGAAGCCCTGGTCGTGTAGTGGTTAAGAGCTCAGCTACTAACCCTAAAGGTCTGCAGTTCAGATCTACCAGCTGCTCCTTGGAGACCCTGTGGGGCAGTTCTGCTCTGTCCCACAGGGTCACTGTGAGTTGGAACTGACTCAACAGCACCTAACAAACAACAACATGGCCTCATTTATAGGATCTCTGTTATGCTCCTCTGGTCAATTTGCCTCTCCCTGTACTATGGAGCCCTGGTGGTACAGTGGTTAAAAGCTTGGCTGCTAACCAAAAGGTCCAGCAGTTTGAATCCACCAGCTGCTCCTTGGAAATTCTATAGGGCAGTTCTACTCTGTCCTATAGGGTCGCTATGAGTCGGAATCAACTTGATGGCAATGGGTTTTTGTTTTTTTTTAAAATATATACTATTCTATACTATTTTAATTACTGTAAATTTATTCTGAGTATCAATAGCTGGTAGGGTAAGCCTCCTTACTTGTTCTTTTTTTTTTTTTGAGAGTGTCTTGGCCATATTAGTCATTTTATCTTTCATACAAATTTTAGAATCCGCTTAAGTGCTACGTAAAACCTTTTTAGCATTTTGATGCAAGTTGCATTGAATCTTTAGATCAAATTTGGAAAGAAATGACATATTTACGACAGTCAGTCTTTGTATGGTTGAACATAGGAAATATCTCCATTTATTTATATCTTCAAATGCCTTTACAGTTTTATAACTTTCTATGTGCAAGCTCTGTACATCTTTTGTTACATTTATTCCTAGGTTATCCTAAATTTTTGTTGCTATTTTAAATGATGTCTTCCTTTAAAACTTACATTGTCTAATTGTTGCTGGTGTGTAGAAATGCAAATGATACTATATGTGATTTTATATCCAGCCACCTTGTTAAACTCTTATTATTTAAACAATTTGTCCATACTTTCTTTTATAGTCTATGTAGACAATATACTGATTATAAACAGTTTTTCTTTCTCCTTTCCAATCTTTATGCTTTTAATTATTTTTCTTATCTTAATAAGCTGTTGAGAAATTTCAGTGCAATGCTGTATGAAAATGATCTTATTTCAGATTTTAAAGAGAATTCTTCTATGACTTTCCCATTTAAATTGCCTTAGGTATTTTTTAATATATCCTTTATCAGGTTGAGGAAGTTCCTTGATATTCCTAGTTTACTAAATGCTTTTCCTTTTTCATTATGAATGAATATGGAATTTTATCAAACACATTATCTACTTCTGTTGATATGACCATAAGTTTTCCCTTTACTTTGTTAATTGATTGATGACATTTTCATATTTTATAATATTAAACCATTTTTACATTCCTGGGATAAAAGCAATTGGATGTTGCTGTATTATCTCTTTTATACTAAATACTTTTTCTTTTTTAATTATAAATGAATATTGAATTTTATCAATATTATTCAGTTTGCTAATATTTTTATTTAGAATTTTTGCATCTAAAATCATGAGTGATAAAGGCTGGTGATATTCTTCTCTCTCTCTCTGTCTAGTGTTTATATCAAAGTTATACTGGCCTCAGAATGGGTTGGGGATTTTTTATTCTTTTTTTTCTATCCTCTGGAAAAATTTATACACAATTAGAATAATCTATTGCCTGTAATTTTGGTAGAACTTGCTGGTAAAATTGTCTGGGCCCTTTGTGGGAAGATTTAAAAAAAAAAAATTCAGGTGAAATTCACAAACATACAAATAACCATTTAAAATGGTACAGTTCAGTGGCACGTAGTAGTCCTAATGTTGTACAACCTCCACCTTTCTCGAGTTTAAAAACTTTTTCATCACCCCAGGAAACTAGCCTATACCCATTAAGTAATCATTCACCGTTCCCCCTGCCCCCCTTCCCTGGTAACCACTAATCTGTTTTCTATTGCTGTGAATTTGTCTGTTTTGGATATATCGTACAAAAGGAATCATACAATATGTGAACTTCAGTGTCTGGCTTCTTTCACTTACTATAATGTTTCTGAGATTCATCCAGGTTGTAGTACTTTGTTTCTCATTTACTGCTCAATAATATTCCATTGTATGTATACATTACAAGAACGTGGCATCAGGATTGGAGGAAGACTCATTAACAACCTGCGGTATGCAGATGACACATTGCCTGCTGAAAGTGAAGAGGACTTGAAGCACTTACTGATGAAGATCAAAGACCACAGCCTTCAGTGTGGATTACACTTCAACATAAAGAAAACAAAAATCCTCACAACTGGACCAATAAGTAATGTCATGATAAACGGAGAAAAGATTGAAGTTGTCAAGGATTTCATTTTACTTGGATCCACAGTCAACACCCATGGAAACAGCAGTCAAGAAATCAAAAGATGCATTGCACTGGGCAAATCTGCTGCAAAAGACCTCTTTAAAGTGTTGAAAAGCGTCACCATGAAGACTAAGGTGCACCTGACCCAAGCCATGGTGTTTTCAATAGCCTCATATGCATGCGAAAGCTGGACCATGAATAAGGAAGACCGAAGAAGAATTGATGCCTTTGAATTATGGTATTGCTGAAGAATATTAAATATACCGTGGACTGCCAAAAGAATGAACAAATCTGTCTTGGAAGAAGTACAGCCAGAGTGCTCCTTAGAAATGAGGATCGTGAGACTTCTTCTCACATACTTTGGACATGTTATCAGGAGGGACCAGTCTCTGGAGAGGGACATCATGCTTGGTAGAGGATCAGTGAAAAAGAGGAAGATCCTCAGCAGGATGGATTGACACAGTGGCTGCAACAATGGACTCAAGCATAACAATGATGTGAGGATGGCGCAGGACGGGGCAGTGTTTTGTTCTGTTGTACACAGGATTGCTTTGAGTTGTAACCGACTCCATGGCACCTAACAACAACAGTCTTTTTGGAAGCAGACTGACAACATCTTTCTCTCACAGAGCGGCTAGTGGGTTCAAACTTCGACCTTTTGGTTAGCAGCTGAGTGCTTAACCACTGTGCCAGCAGGGCTCCTTCAGCTTCTAGTAGCTGCCAGCAATCCTTGACATTCTTGGTCTTATAGATGCATCTGTCTTCATTGTCTGTCTTCCGCTTTCCCCCGTGTTTGTGTCTCTGTGTGTTTCCACTCTTTTTATAACTTAGAAGTGATTGAACTTAGGACTCATCCTATTCTGACATGACTTCATTAACATAACAAAAGAAAACACCTATTTGCCAGTAGAAAATCATGTTTACAGGTACAGGGGTTAGGATTTCAAAACATATTTTTGGAGGACACGATTCAATCCATAACAAAAACTGTCAGCAGTCACTTTTATTTCCTCTTCCCAATAAATTTCATTCATTCCTGAAGTTGCGTACTTCCATTTGGAATCATTTTCCTTTAGGAGAAAGAACTTCATTTGGTATTATTTGCCGCGCATATCTTCTGGTAATGTACCTTGTCATTTTTTGTCTGAACGTATTTTCATTTTTGAAGGATACTTTTGATCAGGATAGAATTCTGGGTTGGTTTTTTTTTGTTTTTGGTTTGTTTGTTTTTTTCCTGGTCTTTGAAGATGTGATTGCATTGTCTTCTGGCATCTAGGGTTTCTGTACAAAAGTCAGCCATAATCTTACTGTTGATATCCTTTGACCATAGTGTGTCTTTTTTCCTCTGGCAGCTTGTAAGATTTTTCTACCTTCGGTTTTTAGCAGTTTTTTTTTTTGTTTGTTTGTTTGTTTGTTTGTATTTATGCATCTTGGGATTTGCTGAGATTCAGTATTTATATGAGTTGGTATCTTTCACCAATTTTGAAAAAAACTATTATTGTTAGCTCTTCAAATATTGCTTCTGTCTTATTCTCTCTTTCATCTTTTTGAGGGATTCAAATTACAAATATTTTAGACCTTTTGACTGTCACCCACATGTCTCTTATAGTCTGCTCTGTTTTCCTATTATTTTCTTTCTGTTTCAGTTGGATTTTTTCTACTGTCCTGTCTTCTTATTGATTAATCCTGTTTTCTGCTGTATTCTGTCTGCTGTTAAGCATATGAAATAAGTTTTTGATATCAGATGTAGTATTTTTAAGTTATAGGATGTCGATATGATTTTTATCAATTGACTTCAATTTTCTGGGTCTATAAGAGAACTAGGACCTAAAGACTTATCTTTTCATCTATTTTATAAATATTTCCTTTTTGAGCCTATTAATTGTCCCTACTTATGTTTAACTCCAATTCAACTTGTAAATATGTTTCTCGTTTTTTCATAATTTGTCCTGATTTTTATCTTGCCTCTTAATTTTTTATTGTATTATGGGTGACAAATTACAGAGAATTTGGAACATGTTAATGTTCCTCCAAAGAAGGTTATACTTTCTTCTGGAGGACAGCTAAAGTACTAGTGGATCACCTTGATTCTTTTAAGGTTTTGTTTTATGCTTTTCTAAGGATAACCTCTTTTAATTTTCCCCTTACTTATAGGTAAGGACTCTTCTACAGTCTCAGCTTAATATCTGGTGTATTTACCAAGACCTCCACTTTGCTGGGGCTTGAATTCCAATCTTTGTCCCCCAGCACCATGAGGTTGATTAAACTTATGTTCAGCTCTTTTAGCCTCCCAGTTGCTGTTTTCTTCTGAGTTTCTTGGCATCTCATTCTACATCAGCCAATGAGTTGAGGGGAATTTGTATGCAGATTTTGACTTCTTCTCTACAGTATCATTGTCTGGGATTTTGCTCTTCAAATTTCAGCTACTTTGGTATCCTTGAACTCTGACTAGTTTTTTTTTTTTTTTCATCCTAGTAAAACTACTGATTTATTTTTGGGTTCTATTTACCTATGCCATGATATGGAAAATATCCTTAGGGAAAAAGCAGGAGTGAATGTAGAGCTACCTCTTGTGCTTCCTTCCTATCAAAGATTGCTATATCCCTTTAAGTCCTGCTTGCATTGGTTGCTTTGTAATTCCTTAAACAATTGTTTTGTATATTTTGTACAGCTTTTATGGTTGTTTTTGGTGGGAGGGTTGGTCTGATACAAGCCACTTTGTCAAGCATGGAATTGGAAGTTCCCCGGTGTTTTTAATTTTTTTTCAAATAATTGTTTCCATGTTTAGTACCATCAGGAAAGATGACATATACTCCAGAAACCCTCTACAAGGAACTGTTCTTACAACATGAAGGACTTGAAGAATTAATATTTAAAGAAATGGACTCTGTTAGCCAAGGTACATTGATCTTTTCTAGGAGCTGGTCTTTGGATCTGGGCTTGCAAGAGAACCAGAACGTCATCTGTGATGCTCTTCTAATTGTTGAACACAGTCCACCAGTCTTATACACCTTTCTCAGGGAACCAAATGCAGAGTTAAAAAGGTATTCTGCACAAACTGCCCTAACTTTAAAGCAGAAACTGGTAAAAATTGGTGGTTACAATGGGAAAGTGTGTGTCCCGAGAAAGGTCTTCTGCTTGAGTCCTGAAAACAATGCAGACCTCTCTGATAATTCAGGCCTGCTTTACCCTAAATCCTACAATCTTACAACTAAAACAATGGAAGACTTGCTGAGGGCCCTTTTAATAGTCTTACTGAGACACAGATCATTGAGTAAACAATTTATCTCTGAGATTTTCAGCTTGTTCTTAGATAATAAGTATCAATGACTTTTGAAGCGCATTTTGTCCAGGGATCACCAGAATCATACAAGTCAGACTAGGATGCGTAGTTCTTCATGTGAGAGTATGTTCTCTAATTCTGTGAAATTACTCATGTGAAGGACTTTGCAAACTAAGCAAAATTAGGTTTGGTCTATGTTTACTTCCTCCTAAATAATCCTCATAGATGTTGCTTAAAGGTTATTGGTAAAATTAGTTTGTTAATTACTCTGTGTACAATTTGCTATTTATGGATAAATTTCCTTCCATTTCTAAATTGGGGAGATCACAATACTTTTATTTTTAACAACAATAACTAAAATATTTCAGGTTGTACCCAGAAAGCCTTTATAACTTAGAAAAGATTATCATTGATGATGCTCATAATTTCCACAATGGGAATGAAGAGGGTGAAATTTATTATTCCAAAACAAAAACTCAAGGCATTCTCTTGATCTCTTTATCCCTTTTACACTGGTTGCTCGGGGAGGGCTTGGTGGGGGGAGACCTGTGGATTTCCTAATTGCTCAGATAGTGCCCTCAAAGAACTCACCAAATGATTGCTTTATTTTCCTAGAAGCATTTCTGAATAAAGAAGGTGAGTTGACAAAATCCTGAACTTTCTCTCTAACATAGTTTTGGAGGGAAGCAGCCAAAGTGTAAAATAGGAACCCTTTCAAACAATGATAGTTTTCATTAACAGAAGGAAGGAACCCCAGAGTTTGATATTTTCCAGTCCTCTAAGATGAGCTGGGAGAGTAAAATGAAGTTCAACAGAGTGGGACAGACCCTTAGCTGGGTGTTCTGAACCTGTGTATAGTACATTCAGCGGAAGCTTGGAACGGAAACCAGAACCTAGGTTCCCCAGCTAGGCTTCAGCCTTCTCCACTGCTGTGATCAGTGCCAGAAGACAGTGGAGCAATGCATACAGAATTCTGAGGAAAACTAAGTTTTACCCAGACATATTTTTCCAAGCCAAGATGTCATCTGAATATAAATAAGACAGGCAGGGAACATAGTTCTCTAATACCCTTCTTAAAATACTACAGTGATCTGCTAATGAATAGATGGATTAAAATAGAGAGCTTAAGAGTGGGAGAATCTGTTGTAAAATTGCTAGTGGTAGAATCCATTGAAATACTGAATTAAGGAAGAATTATGACTTCAGGACAGAAGGTACATTTTATGTACCTTGAAGAAGTAAAACCGTGATAAAACTGAAAGAACAGGGAGATGGGCACAAGGCACGACTTCCATTAATACTGTCTCAATTGAAAACGAGTGGTTAAAACATAATTAGTATAGCAAGAGGTTGAAATCATTATTCAATTTTTCAAAACGTATGTATATGTTTAAAATATAGTTGATCTTATTATGTACAAATTCTGTATTTACAAATTCACTTACTCGCTAAAGTTTATTAGAAACTCCAGTATGGGTCATTTGCGGATATACACAGAAGGGTGAAAAGTTTGAATCACCCAGTGTGCATGTTCCTAGTTGAAGCCAAACAAAGCAATGCTTTGCCTTCTTGTTTCAGTCTCATACTGGAAACATTTTTGCAATCTATTTAGTGGCTCGTTTTTCACATATTTCTACTTTTTATTGACGACTTTGCTGTTTAAAGTGCAGTCCTGAAGGGCTGTCTAGTGTTCCTAAGCACAAGAAGGCTGTGATATGCTTTATAGAGAAACGATGTACGTGAGATAAGTTTTATTAAGGTATGAGTTATAGTGCTGTTGGTGATAAGTTCATTGTTAATAAACTAGCAATATAAAGTAAGGTGTCTTCAAGCAGAAACGCATAAAACAAAATTATGTATTGATCGTTTGACGAAAATATTGTGACTATAGGCGCATTTGACGAAAATGTTGTGACTAGGCGCTCATTTGATGAAAATGTTGTGACTAGAGGCTTACGAGAACCTAACCCTGTATTTCCTCTAGGAGGAATGATTCAGTGTTCACGATATAAAACATAAAACAAAGTTTTATGTATCGATTGTTTGACGACAGTATTGTGACTGGAGGCTCACAGGGACCTAACCCTGTATTTCGACTAGGAGCAATGGTTCAGTATTCATTAATCCAGGATTCATGGCAACTTTATAGAACGTAGAACCAGTTGCCCTCAAGTCGGTTTCAACTCATGGCGACCCTATGTGTGTCAGAGTAGAACTGTTCTCTGTAAGATTTTCAGCGGCTGCTTTTTCAGAGGCACCTCTAGCTGTATTCGAACCTCCGACCTTTTGGTTAGCAGTCGAGGGCATTAACTGTTTGTACCACCTAGGAACTCCTTATAGACCATATTGTTGTTGTTAGGTACCATTGAGTTAATTTTGACTCACAGAAACCCCATGTGACAGAGTAGAACTGTGCTATAGGGTTTCTTAGGCTGTAATCTTTATGGGAGCAGATCTCCAGGTCTTTTCTCCTGTGGAGCCACTGGTGGGTTCAAACTGCTGACCTTTCAGTTAGCAGCCAAGCACTTAACCATATGTCACCTGGCCATAAATAACAAGAATTTACTGTATTTAGCAAGATATGCTCCAGTATATTAATAGTAGTTAAATATAAGTTGTAGGATTACAGAGAATTTTCACTGTCTACATTTTGGTATTTGTACTTTCTATGTAGAACATATTGGGTTTTTCAAAAGGTATATTGTTTTTATAATAAAAAATGAGGTTTTTAAATGTAGTAAGCTTGCTTTTCGTGATGGAATTAATTTCATGTAACAAGGAGTCATTTAATCGTTTCATAGATAGCTATCATTTTGCATTTTGGGGAAAACTTCGTTGTGTTGATATATGTTTTATCATGCTTTGTACCTTACCATGAAATTTGTTAACTTTTGGGTTGATTTCAATATGTAATCCAAGACAATTATTTCTCAATCTCATAAAACAAGATGATAATGGATAAAACTGAATAAACTATATTTTGAAAAATGTACCAAGGTCTAATTAATTTGTTATTGTTTTGGGGATGTGGAGTGAGAGATGTTTTCCATGACTTTGTTCTTGATGACCAGACCAAAGGCTTTACGTGTATAATTTCATCCAATCCTCTCAGTAACTAGTTAGAGCTAAAGTAGGACTAATTCGACGCTCAGCTGCTGCCAGAGACGCTACTTGAAGCAGAGCAAAGAGGGAAGAAATACTTCGGCTTCTCCCTTCCTCCACCTTCCAGTCTCCTGTGCTTCCCATTGGTTGAACCAATTGGCAAGGGAGCCTAGATACTGCATTATTTCAAAGGTTAGCCTCTCTGTGATACAGCACAGAGCAGAAGGGCAGAGAATGGATCTGAGAGCAAATCAGCTATGATGATTAATTTTATGTGTCACCCTGGCTACACTCTGCTGCCCAGTTGTTTAGTCAAACACTAGATGTTGCTGTGAAGGTATTTTGTAGATGTGGTTAGCCTTTAAATAAGTTGACTTTAAGCAAAGGAGATTACCCTCAACAACAGGATTGGACCTCATCCAATCAGCTGAAGACCTTAAAGGCAAAACCTGAGGTTTCCCAGAGAGGAATGAATTCTGCTTCAAGACTGTAATGTATAAATCCTGAGTTTCCAGCCTGCTGGCCTGCCCTACAGATTTTGGACTTGCCAGCCCCCACAATCACATGAGCAGTTTCTTAAAATAAATTAATCTTTCTCTGCCCCTGTCTGTGAGGAATAAAATTGTGAGAGGAGCCCCAGCATGCCTGAGGAACTCTGTACTCGTTCTTCCATGTAGTTCAGGAATTACAGTGGGGACTGATGCCACTGAACTGGGATCCTTAAATGCAATGGGAATAATTGTATCCTGGGGTACTAGGGGCCAAATGGTGGCACTTAATCACCAAAGATGGGCATTGTTACCATAATGGACAGCAGATTAATCAGAATAGTTTGCCTCTCAGAGACCTATGGCATTGGCTAGTTGATCATGGTGTCACTAAAAGTGAAATAGATAGGAAATCTACTAAATTTTTACTTGATATGTATAAGCAGAAATGTTTTAGGTCAAGTGAACAGAAGTCTAGTTTGAATCACCAAAACAGAGAGTCATCGCCCCTCAGTCAGTTTTCAGAGCTGAGTCAGTTTACTGAATGAAGAACACTTTGAATGAAGGAGAGACTGGGTGCCCTTGAGGAAGGACACCACCACACTTTCAAAAATTTGTACCATTAATATTTACCCCAGCCTTCCCCAAAGGAACCTACAGCCTTTTACCAGAGTGACTGCACATTGGAGAAAAGGAAATAATGAGACTTTTCAGGAATTACTGGGCAGTGACTCTGAAATGTCACTAATTCCAGGAGACCCAAAATGTCTACTAGTCAGAGTAGAGGCTTAGGGAGAGCAGATGGTCAATGGAGTTTCAGCTTAGGTCTGTCTCACAGTGAGTCCAGTGGTCATCCTGTTACTTACCCAGTTCCAGAATGCATAGATGGAATAGACACACTCACTGTCATGGTTTGAATTATGTCCCCCCAAAAATGTGTATATCAATTTGGCCGGGCCATGATTCCTGGTATTGTGTGGTTTTCCTATATGTTGTAAACCCTGCCTCTATGATGTTAATGAGGGAGGATGGGTGGCAGTTGTGTTAGTAAGGCAGGACTCAGTCTACAAGACTGGATTGTATCTTGAGGCAATGTCTTGAGATATAAAAGACAGAAGTGAGCAGAGAGACAGGGGGACCTCATACCATCAAGAAAGCAGTGCCGGGAGCAGAGTGCATCCTTTGGACTGGGATCCCTGCACAGAGAGGCTCCTAGTCTGGGGGAACACTGAAAAGAAGAAGGCCAATAGAGAGAAAAAGCCTTCCCCTGGTGCTGATGCCCTGAATTTGGACTTTTAGCCAGCTTTAACTGTGAGGAAATAAACTTCTCTTCTTTAAAACCATCCACTTGTGGTATTTCTGTTACAGCAGCACTAGATGACTAAGACACTCACCAACTGACAGAATCTTCACATTGGTTCCATGATCTGTGGAGTGAGAGATATTATGGTAGGAAAGGCCAGTGGAAACCAGTGGATCTTAATCTATCTAGGAAAACAGTAAACCAAAAGCAACACCTGGAGGGATTACAGAGATTAGTGCCACCATCAAGGGCTTGAAGGATGCAGGGATAGTAATAATTCCTGTCACATCCCCATTCAACTTGCCTATTTGACCTCTGCATAAAGCAGATGAATCTTGGGGAATGACAGTGAGTGTGTTATTTTAAAGTTAACCAGGGGCAGCTGCTGTACCAGATGTGGTTTCATTGCTTAAGCAAGTTAACACATCCTCTGGTACCTGGTATGCTGTTATTGATCTGGCAAATTCTTTTTTCTGTATATCTGTTAGTAAAGACCATCAGAAGCAGTTTACTTTCACCTGGCAAAGCCAGCAATACACTTTCACTGTTCTGCCTTAGGGGTATATCAACTCTCCAACCCTATGTCCTAATTTGGTCCTCAGGGACATTGATTGCCTTTTGTTTCCACAAGACATCATACTGGTCCATTACACTGATGACATGGTGCTGATTGGATCTAGTGAGCAAAGAAGTACCAACTATGCCAAATTTATTGATAAGATATTGTCACAGTCATTCAGAGCTGCTATAATAGAAATACCATGAGGGATGGATTTAATGAACAGAAATTTATTTTCTCACAGTTTAGGAGGCTATAAGTCTGAATGCAGAGCACTGGCTCTAGGGGAAATAGTCTCTCTCTGTCTAATCTAGGGGAGGGTCCTTATCTCTTTTCAGCCTCTGTTCCTAGGTGTCTTGGTAATCATGGGGCATGTATCTTTCCTTTCGTTTGTGCTTGCTTGCTTAATCTGCTCTTTAATATCTCAAAAGAAATTGATTTAAGACACACCCTACACTAATAGAAAAGGTCCATCAGTCACAGGCTTAATCTCTTTAACAAAATATTGAGTCACCAAGTCCTTGATGAGAGTTCTAGGGAATGTGTCCTTAGTTTGTACAGCAGAATTTTCCAAATTTTTAAGTTCTAGTTTCATTTTGCACAGTTCATTTTTAAGTCCATCGCTTTCCTCCTGCATTCTAATGTAAGCTTGCTTAGAAATCTTGAAGGATGCAGGGATGGTAATAATTCCCATCACATCCCCATTCAACTTGCCTATTTCTAAGCAAAATTTGAAAGATCTTGCTTAGAAATCTCCTCAGCCAAATATCCAAGTTCATCACCTACAAGTTCTACCTTCCACCAAACATTTGAACGTAATTCATACAAGATCTTTGCCACTGGATAAAAAGCAGCGCCTTCCCTCCAATATGGAAACCCTGGTGGCATAGTGGTTAAGAGCTATGGCTGCTATTCAAAAGGTCGGCAGTTCGAATCCACCAGGCACTCCTTGGAAACCCTATGGGGCTTCTACTCTAGGGTTTCTGTGAGTCAGAATCGACTCGACAGCAATGAGTTTGGTTTTTCTTTATTCCCCTCCAATGTCCAGTCACACATTCATCATTTCCTTTCTTTCTTTCTTTTTTATTTTATTGTGCTTTAGGTGAAAGTTTATGGAAAAAATTAGTTTCTCGTTCAAAAACTTACACACAAATTGTTTCATGACGTTGGTTGCAATCCCCACAATGTGTCGTCACTCACCCCCTTTTCATCATTTCTTTTTAAAGTCTCACCAGAAGCACATTTAACATCCAGATTTCTAGCAACATTCTGTTCATGACAGGAGAAGCTCTCATCACAGCTCTCAATTCTTTCTGAGCCCCCATCAGACTCATCCTCAATGTCTATAGTTCTACCAAAAGTCTCTTCAAGGTAAACTAGGGCCTTACTATGAAGCACACCCAAATTCCTCGAGCCTTACCCATTAAACCAAAATAAACCAATCCCATTGCCGTTGAGTCAATTCTGACTCATAGTGACCCTATAGGACAGAGCAGAACTGACTAGTATTGTTTCCAAGGCTGTAAATCTTTATGGAAGCAGGCTGCCACCTTTTTCTCCCATAGAGCAGCTGGTGAATTTGAACTGCTGATCTTTGGGTTAGCAGCCGAGTGCTTAACCACTGAACAACTAGGGCTCCTCTCCTCTACCTATTAACCAATCTCAAAACCATTTCCACATTTTAGATATTTGCTAGAGTAGCACCCTACCCTTCATTACCAAATTCTGTCTTATCTAGTTATCTACTGCTGCTATAATAGAAATACCACAAGTGGGTGACTTTAATGAACAGAAATTTATTTTGTCACAGTTTAAGAAGCCAGAAGTCCAAATTCAGGGCACCAGCGCTTTTTCTCTCCGTCTGCTGTTGGGGAAGGTCCTTGTCTCTTTTCAGCTTCTATTCCCAGGTTCCTTGGCAATCATGTGGTGTGTATCTTTC